GCGCGCCGTCCTGTTAAACTCCGTATGCCGATCTAAAACCCGGCCACAACTGAAGCTTCTGAATAACTACCGGAGGGGATAATGGCAGATAGATCTCACAGCATCACTTACGGAAATCATGTAGATCCGGCTTCTCTATATCACGATTCCTGATGCCTCAAAACAAGGCTGAGAGCGGGTCCTGCGGCCCCTGCCTATTTCGCTGAACTTCTTCGAAGTTGGCTAGACTTGTTCTATTGGCTGTAGACTAAGGTAGGTGCATTATGTCAGCTTTCAGCCGCCAAATTTTCCGTACCAATACTCGTGACCGCATCGTACAACTTCGACACTGTTTAAGGTTACACTATCATCAACACATTTCCATCAATCTTCTCCTCCCCCGGCACTTATCGGGACTGCTGCATCAGTTTCCTACTCCATTTTATCACACAGAATCACCAGCTTGACTAGATAACAATGTCTCGCGGCGGCACCACCCTTTACGTGACCGGCTTTAGCCACGGCACCCGCGCTCGCGACCTCGCCTACGAGTTCGAACGGTATGTCAACCTCGCTCACGCCCACGCCCACGCCCTCGTCCGCGTCCTATCGTTTTCGCGCGCGCCTTCGTCCATGTCTATGTCATGAGCTGGAGACTTTTTTAATGGTCTTCAACCTGGCACTGACGCCTCGCCCTCTATCGTCGTCCTCGCGCCATCGTCCTCTCGTTTCCGTCCGCGCCCACGTCCCCAGCACTCTCTCCTTCCCTGTCTTCCCACGTTCGTCGATGGGACTGCTTGTCCACTGTGCAGTCACATTTCGATTGAGTTGGCGCGAGTCTTTCGAGATCCGACGTGCGAATGCGCATAGCGTTCATTTCAAAAAGGGGGCCTCTGCCGGCGTTTAGCTGTGTTACAATATGTTTTGTAGTATACTGACCTTCAATCTGATAGCTACGGCCGACTGGTTCGCTGCGATATTCCCGCACCGAGGTCTACATCCAGCCGGCTGTAAGTGTGCTCTACTCTCAACTGGCGTGCAATTGAGCTGACATGGCAGTAGCTTCGCTTTTGTTGAGTACGAGGACCGTCGTGATGCTGACGATGCCTACCATGAGATGCATAACAAGCGCATCGGTCGCGACGACATTTTGAAGATTGAGGTATGCGGCCCAAACACGATATTTTCTAGCGCAATCGCTAATTTGACCTCAGTGGGCTCGTACTCCTCCTTCTGCCTCATGGCGCTTTGAATCTGGACGCGACCGTGACCGACGTGGTGGCGCTCGCTCTCCCCGACGTGGACGCTCTCCTTCTCCCCGCCGCAGCACTCGCGATTATTCTCCTCGCAAGGACGACCGTAGGGACCGTGACCGAGACTATGACCGCGAGAGCCGACGTGACAGGGATCGCTCTCGCAGCCCTGACCATCGGTATGTTCCCAGTCTGATCTTCCAATAATGCACATGCTAACAAGACGGCAGGGACCGTGAGCGTGACTCCAAGGATGACCGTGATGATCGTGACCGAAGGGAGAACGGTACTAATGGTGACGAGCGCAAGGGTATGTTTCCCAACTCTTGTACCAATTGACTTAAGCTCACTCAGGGTACAGCTCTCGATAGCCCTCCTCCTGCTCATGACGACCTTGACGTCGCCGAGTAGACGCCTCTCTGACAATAAGAGACTTCTTGCCATTTCTGGCCAGGCTTCTCAAGTAAAAGTTTCTAGGGCCTGCTTAGGGATGGCATCACTCCCTATCATTTGACAGGTCCAATGTGTAATATTGTTTGAAAGGCCCAACCAATACGGCATGGAACGTATAAGAGTCTACGGATGCCATGGTGGGTCGGATACGGGTGCATTGTTTTTCCAAGACTGAAGGCTTTTGCCACGGCGCGTTTCCTTTGGAAGTTTTCATTTCGTAGGTAGTTTATCTGTAGACTGTTTTGTAACATGATTCGGCGCAACGGGTCAATGATCTGTCTGTATCGCACAATTCTCGAGCCGCCTTTTCAGTGATACTGGGAGACATGAACCAAATGACGATGACGTTGTGCAGCTCAAGGCTCTGACTGATTCCGTTCATGCGGTCGCGCTACAGATAGCAGGGTCTCATTCTGGCCAGTCACCATGAAACTTGTGTCTTCCCCAGCCCCTTGCCCCTGTGCCTAGCTGAATAGAGCCTGATCAGTGGCTAACTTTAGTGCCTTTCTAGCTATTCCTGAGTCGACGCCTCTCAGATTCCAGCTTCAAATAAGATCCATTAGAGAGACCAACCCGCCGCTTACATTCTTGTCTGGCATGTGGACTGGGCACAGGAGACAGAACATCACTTTGGGCCAAACGCGGACAAAACCTGAACAGTTACAATCCACATAAAGCGTCAGTTGTAAATCAATGTTACTAACCTGCTCGTTCATATGATCGCTTGAGTGCATCTGCTCGTCGTCATATGCTCTCGGCTTACCCTGTAGCGCGGAAAGCCACTGATCTGGCTGTGAGACTTTGCTCTCCCCCACAATAAAGCGTTCCAGGTCCTGCTTCTACTTCTCCCGAGCGGAAACCGGGGGACCACGCGCGCGCCCCGAAGTCATCCGCAACGCCGGCTCACGCGCCCCCATCCGCTCCTTGACGGCACCGATCCCGTCTCCCGTCCGTCGATATCCTCTTCCCATCATCGAGCAAACCAGTTCGTATAAAGACGATACCTGCCGAACCGTTGGCGAACCCAATCGCCAATAATCCGCCCGCACGCCTTGTCGTGTGTCGGTACTGGCGCAGACCTCGAAAACTTCTCCCCCAATGGTTGCTTTCATCCTATCATCACCTCGACCTTCCAGCATGCCATCGCTATTCTTTCAACCACAGTAACAATTGGAGACACAATCGTTTGACAGGGAATACATAATACCGGAGACGATATTCGAGTTTTGAGGCTACCCGCCACTGTCGCAATCGAGGCTGAGACCTAGCAACTACTCTAAACCCGACGCTTTCAACAAAGACGAAGCCTTGTCTTGGGACGAATTGCCATTGTCTCACATACGACCCAATACGTTCGCCCGCCGCCATGTCCACCGTACGTCAAGCATGTGCCGATTGTTGACTTGCATGCAGTATTGATGCAGAGCCATTTTTCTCATTACAGGATTTGCTAATCAGGTATTATAGTCACAACCAGACATGGTCAATTCGACCGAGGCTGCGGCCCCTAGCCGCTCCATACAGTTCCGAGAGTCCATCTCTCAGCCAGTAATCGCCGCATTCTGCGCCGGAGGTGTTGCTGGCGCTGTCTCTCGAACCGTCGTATCCCCCCTTGAGCGGCTCAAGATTCTCATGCAGATCCAAAGCGTTGGGCGAGATGCGTACAAGCTGTCAGTAGGGAAAGCCCTGAGTAAGATGTGGAAGGAAGAAGGCTGGAGGGGATTTATGCGAGGTAATGGCACGAATTGTATCCGCATTGTCCCATACTCTGCTGTGCAATTCAGCAGTTATAACTTTTATAAGCGGGTGTGTAATGCTTCAGACGAGGCTCAAGTTCATCCTCAACAAGCTAACATATACACAGAACATCTTTGAAAGCTACCCGGGTGCTGATTTGGCTCCAATTACTCGCCTTATCTGTGGTGGCATTGCTGGTATAACGTCTGTCTTCCTCACCTACCCTCTCGATATTGTTCGCACTCGGTTATCCATCCAATCTGCAAGTTTTGCCGAGCTAGGAAATAGGCCAGACAAATTGCCGGGGATGTGGACGACCTTGGTGCAAATGTACAAGACCGAGGGTGGTATGTCTGCTCTATATCGGGGCATTGTCCCTACAGTTGCCGGAGTAGCACCATACGTAAGCCCCTGATCTCCTACCTGCTTTAACAATAAGTTTCAAGAACTGATTGTTCTTCAAGGTCGGTCTTAATTTCATGGTTTACGAATCAGTCCGAAAGTACTTGACGCCAGAAGGGGAGCAGAACCCCAACGCAACCCGCAAGTTGCTGGCCGGTGCCATATCTGGAGCTGTGGCACAAACTTGCACATACCCCTTGTAAGTAACTCTGCTATCGCTAATGTGTGATCGCCTTGCTTACAGAACACATAGCGACGTTCTACGGCGCCGATTCCAGATCAACACCATGTCAGGCATGGGCTACCAGTACAAGGGTATCACAGATGCAATTCGGGTCATTGTGATGCAAGAGGGAATCAAGGGACTTTACAAAGGCATAGTGCCTAACTTACTCAAGGTCGCTCCCAGTATGGCATCAAGCTGGCTGAGTTTCGAGATGACCCGTGATTTTCTCGTCGATCTCAGGCCCGAACCTGAGCCACGCTCCTTGTGATTTATATAGATATGTGAAGATAGTCTGTACGACAGAAGGGTTTTTCTTTTCAAGCATGGCTTTTGGCATTGGGGGGAAAGAACAAAAAAGGAAACGGACTGGCGCGATCATGGGAGACGTCAGAAACGTAGATTTGTACAATCATGAAGCAGTTGGAACAAATGGCAAGCAAGCTTTGGTGCGAGGCCTGTCATATACATTACTGGATGATGCATAGAGGTTAAGAAAGATCTGGCTGTGGATACCGGACAGGAACATTTGAATTGATAGACAAAAACCATCGTAGTCCCTATAATGGATTGCTTGATTGGCTATAATTAAGACTTGATCGCCTTCTCTTCGTGATCTTATAGGTATGTTTACATCAATACCTAACATATCTCACCATCACGGCGCCGCTCAGATCGTGCAATAACGGCATAATTTGAATTTCTATAACTTACCTCTTGTATGATTCTAATCTGAAAGAAAGACAGTCCAAGGGGGCGGCCGGGGGAGGAGGACGAAGTGATGGTGAGTTTCACAGCCCCAGACCCAGGTGAGAGCTCGGTAACGGCCTAAAACTAAGGTGACCGAAGGTGGTTAGCGTACATGATCCAGTCTGGTCACGGGGATAGCACCAAACCCTAACTGCCGTCAAGGACCGCCCTCAATTGGCAGGAGCAAGTTGTGTGCAGTGTGACCCACCACCCCAAAGCCCTGAATTTTTCGAAGGAAAGTGTTGTTCGACGCATCCACCTCCATACCCAACATCGCCAAATTTCACAGCGACAACCGCCGCCATGGGTACGTGAAGATATTGAAGTTCAGCCTCTGTATGCGAGTAGAGAAGGAGCGTACTTTCGTGCCTCTTTCTCTGCGACCAAGGCACCATCTTGTTCGCGAAAGCGCAAGACAGAGTTGCCCATTTTTGAGCATGCTTGAACCAAATGGCTGACGATGGCTTCACCTCACAGGTATCGATCTCGACCGCCACCACGTCAAGGGCACTCACCGCACTGCCCCCAAGAGCGACAATGTCTACCTTAGGCTCTTGGTGAAGCTCTACCGCTTCCTGGCTCGTATGTCCAATCTCCCACCTGCAAGCGCACAAATTCGATCGAGAACTCTCAATTAACCATCTCCCCACATGTTGCAGGCCGAACCGACTCTTCCTTCAACAAGGTCGTTCTCCGACGTCTGTTTACGTCCAAGATCAACCGACCTCCCGTCTCCTTGTCCCGAATTGTCGCCAACATCAACAAGGAGGGTGAGAAGCGAACCGTCGTCGTTGTCGGTACCATCACCGATGATAACCGTCTGCTCGAGTTCCCCAAGGTGACTGTCGCTGCTCTGCGATTCACCGCCACTGCCCGCGCCCGCATTGTCGCCGCTGGTGGTGAGGCCATCACCCTGGACCAGCTTGCTCTCCGTGCTCCCACCGGAAGCAACACCCTGATCCTCCGAGGCCCCAAGAACGCTCGTGAGGCTGTCAAGCACTTCGGCTTCGGTCCCCACAAGCACAAGGTAATATCAACCTTTCATAGCGTTTTGGTAACAACATCTAACACCCACTGCAGAAGCCTCTTATCGAGTCCAAGGGCCGCAAGTTCGAGCGTGCTCGTGGCCGAAGACGTTCGCGCGGTTTCAAGGTCTAAGCGGCTGGTTGGTGAAAAATATTGGCCTTGGGTGGAGTTTGGGCCAGGTTATGTGGCAAATGATGCCAAAATTCGACTGGCAAATGGGTCTTGCATGGAATTGGCGTGCCTAGGTATCACAAATTCTACAATGAAATTCTCGCGCGTTGCCGTCATGATGTCGTTCGCTTCTATGTGATTGTGGACGGCATACCCCTGGCACCATATATCTTGAAGGATTATATGATAGCAAATCCAACGCCACATGAACCCTATTGATACATATGTTATACACATCCACCGAGACTTATTCTTGTATGTCTGTGGGTTCTATCGTAACACCAGGTTTTCTCCGCAGGCCAATAAAGTATGCTTCCCGGCTCTCCTACGCATGGAATCAGTACGTTGTATGACGCCCGGAGCATCACGATTTGACTTGATAAGTACCTTTCTTGAAGAATCAGGCTTCTCTCTGAAAACTTTCGTGAAAAGTGTTTTCAGCTTTTTCTCGAACTCCTTGTCCTCGGGTCCCTGGTAGAATTTGCAGACGAAATGTCCCCCAGACCGAAGAGTGTCGCTGGCAAATTGGAGAGCAGCAGCGCAAAGGTCCTTCGCTCAAGTGTTAGCACATATTATTGGTGATATGATATAAGAGCTCTTACCATACTGCCCGTATGGTCACGGAAGCCGTTTCCGCTCGTGTTCATCAACCTATGATAGGGATTACTCAATGTCTTCACGTTAAAGCCGGTGGTTTGCTCCCAGGGTGCTGACATGTCACTCAGAACAACCTGCTGGAGCATCAGCATATTGAAAGGTTATCTAGAAGGGGGGAATTGACAAACATCGACGATGCGCTTGCTTGATGCCTCTGGTCCAGATGCCGGTGGCTCGTTTTGCCCAGTGTGTCGTTCCATGTCGAGGTAGCTAGGCCGATCAACTGCGATGCCTTCTTCTGTGCCAGAGCTGTCGGCTTTCTCAATTTCCTGCCCAACAGGTGGATGCTGGTGACTTTCAAGAATGAAGCTCTTGACCATCTCTTGGACAACTGGTGAGAGAAAATCGCCCTGAAAGGTAGCTACACCACGAGGCGGTTGGGCTGGGATGAGGTCGATACCAATGACCCGCCCATTCGGCCTCGTCCTTTCCACGGCAACCTTGATTTATCAACAAGGGTATTAACTGTGACGATATAGAGGCCTTACCTGTGACCAACTGCCTGGTGCATATCCCTTGCGGGAGTGAGCTCAACGATTCACATGTTGCCAGCAGAATGAGGGTAGTAGTAGACTTACCAGGTCAACCACTGTCTGCCCATTGCCTTTAAACAGCTTGTACTTGGAGTCCATCTAGCCAAACTATTAGCTTGTATTGATGTAATTTGGTGGATGGAGCCGCTCTCACTTCTAGGAGCTTGAAAGCTGCCCGGCTTTTGAGTCCTTGAACTTTCGCACCCCGTGCATATGCGTCACGGGATTGTCGCTGCTTCCAACGAGACCCTGATGAAGACCATCGTATTGATTCAGCTGCTGGTCGTGAAACAAATAAGCATGGGCTGAGCTTCCAGCCCAAGCTTGAGAACGCGGAAGGCAGCCGGATGTTCATCAAATTTGACGAGTTGAAGTAAGCGTTCTTAGTGATAAAACTCTTCGTGACTATCTGTCAAACACCAATGGTGGTGAAGGCAGGTTCCAACTAGAATCGGAGGAAAATTCACAGGTACCCTAGTTGTAATATCAGTATGTGGGTGTCAGTAGGCTGGTGTGGATATTTTATTCATAGTACAGGTATGATGGGATGTAAAGAGTAAAGGTTTCAGCACGATCCCTTGATACCTTAGACAAACTCGGCTAACCTATACCTTATATTGCCTACTTTTTTAATGCGATCCTTTCCAACTTTTGGAAACAATCGGAAGGTACGTCAATACTGAGCGTGAGTGAACACGAGTCGTTAATGCAGAGAAAGAATAATCATTGTTGCAATCCAAACCTTTGCGCCTACCCAGGGACCCTTAACCCAATACCGCCGCTATTTGAGGTAACAAACAGTATGAATGCAAACGCCATGCCATGCCATTTCCACATCTGCCCTGTGCTCAACAAAATAGTCATACACTTTCCTTAATGCAAGAAACTGGCTCCCACTCCTCGCCTGTCCTTCTTCAATGGCGAGAATGTCGCTCCACCGAATGCACCACGAACATTTCCCAGCGGTGCCTTGAGCCTACGTCCAGCCCCCATCTGAATCTTTGCTGGTCTGGGAATTGGTTCCACGTCCTCATCGTCGAACAGAGTCTTGTTGCCACCACCAAGCATTTTGCGCTTCTTCTTGCGTGTATCTGCATCATCATGTCCAATTCTCAACGACGCCGTAGCAGGGTTAGACTTAAGCAGCCCCGGCATCTTCTTGGGCTTCTCGATAGGCTCAGCCTCTGGTTCTTCAACCTCGTCAACTTCGGCTATCATCTCGACTTTACTAGAAGCCTTGGCTGCCTTGGGCTTTCTCTTTGCCTGGACAGGCATGTTCTTCTTCGTTGTTGGTGCGTCGTCCAGAGCTTTCCTTGGTCTGCCTCGGGCCTTCTGTGCCTTTGGCTGCTCCTCTTGCTCGGCGACAGCATCATCCTCAGCTTGATGATCTGACTCTGCAGCTTCCTCTATGGGCTCCATAGACATAGAATCGCCAGCTTCTGGAGCAACCTCTTCAAAGATGACGGGCTCTGAGGCACCTGCAGACTTTCCAGTGGGTGAGTGAAGTTCGCTCAGCTCATCTGACATGTTATCCGAGAGGTTCTTGGTACGGTTCAAAAAGGGCGTGATTGAGAACGTCGACTTCTCTCCGACCAAGGCGCGCTCAGCACCTCGTTTCTTGGAAGGTCGCCTAAAGGTTGCCTCGTCTGGGCCGGGGGTTCCGATGCTGATGTCTTCCATGCTCAGGTCCGGGGCTCTCTTCTTTCCAATGGGATGTTCTTTCATTGTGACACTCTTCTTGTTTGGCTTGTTAGTCGCCAGAGCCTTATGGGCTTCCTCCAGTTCAGCACGACAAGACGCGAGCTCGGCGCGTGTGTCCTTGAGGTCGCCCTGTGTCTTCTTCAGTTTGCTTCTTGTATCCTCAACGCGGCCTTCAAGCATGTCACATTCACCGCGAACTTCCCGTAGCTCTCTGCTGTGTTCTTTCTTGAGCTTCTCCAATTCTCTCTTCGCTTCGTCCAATTGTTCCTTCATTTGATCATTGTCATGATTCTTGGACTGCATACGTTTTTTCGATCTCTTCTCATTTTCGAGCTCAACCTCGATCGAACTAAGCTGGCGCTCGAGATCCTGCTTTTGGGCGACGACGGCGCGATGGTTTTCGAGTTGCGTCTTGAGATGTTCAAGCTCAGGCTGGATCTGATCAAGCTTATGGCTGAGGGCGAGTTTCTCCTGCAAGACCTTGTTTGAGTCTTGTCTGAAGTCATTCAAAGTATTGATTTCGGTCTGGCTTTGTGTCAGGTGGATTTTCTGGTGACTGTAAATCATGCCCTACCTTGAGGCCCTCCAGCTCGTTGCCTTGTTTTCTAAGCTGCATTTCTTGGGCTTTCAGCTTCTCCTTCGCTTCGGTAAGCTCGGCGTGAGCATCTTTTCCTTTTTTCGTGATCTGTTTCACGAGAGCATCTCGTTGGACCAGCCGGTCCTTAAGGGATGCATTTTCATCGCGAAGCGTCAAGAGTCGCAGCTTTAGGAGACGAGCTTCCTCATCACGGCCGGTGAGGTCAATCTGATGGACATTGTCCTGGTGCCTCAATTCAAGCTCACTTATACGAGTCGCGCGCTGCGGTCTATGGTCAGTTCTGTGATTGAAGTGGTCTTTTCACGCGTGTATCTACCTCTGTGGACTTCGTCTTTTTCATGTTTACCAATGTGATGCTGCTGACGAGACAGGTTCAATAAAGTAAAGAGAAATTGGCACAACTTCTGACAGTTGAGTATACTAAAGCCCTGACAAATGCAGAGTCTAACAAGAAAACGACATGCAAGGCAAACCAAGTTGTGGTGGGATGAATCGATATTGGAAGACAGCCGTAGCCAACCTACCTATGTTTTGGCGACTCGGGATAAGCGTAAACATGTTGCTGCATCGAGATTAGCGCCCATCCTGTCGATAAGCCTTCACGTGATAAGTACTCGCTCATCCAATGACGCCGCGTGGTCCCCACCAGCTCGAGACGGGAGCTTAGGTAAGGCGCTTTGCTCGATTGAGAGGCCACCTCAGCTTCACGTCTATTATAGCTACAGCTTCCGCAAGCAAGGTGGTAGATACAGCTTCAACAGTCTCCTACTTCTTTACTTACCGGCCACTTGGCCCCTTTTTCTTCTCTTTGGAACCAACCCCATCTTTTGTTTTTGTCGCCAACATGCGTTTCCTACAATCGCTTCTCTCTTTCGCTGTGCTTGCGACGGGTGTCGCAGCCGCCAAAAAGTCCTCCACCGAGCGGTTCGATGAATTCCATGCCAAACAGAGCTCGACACCGCTCAAGCTGAAAGAATCGACGTACAAAACCCTGACCTCCACACCAAGAGACTACAGCGTTGCTGTTCTCCTCACTGCTGCCGATGCACGATTTTCTTGCCAGCTCTGCCGTGAGTTCCAACCTGAATGGGACCTGTTGGGTAAGAGCTGGGCCAAAGGTGATAAGGCCGGCAATTCTCGACTGATTTTTGGCACACTGGATTTTGTTGACGGCAGAGAGGTTTTCATGTCGGTATGTACTAGGCAAGATCGAAAGCATTGGTATTATCTTGGTTGCTGACCCTATGAATGAAGCTTGGCCTTCAAACCGCCCCTGTCCTCCTCTTGTTCCAGCCCACGGTTGGTCCCCATGCTGCTCAAAAGCCAGAGCCGCTGCGATACGACTTCAGTGCCGGGTGAGTAGTTTTGTCCTCATCTGTTTGAGGGAGACTAACTAACAAACTATATTTAGACCCCCGACTGCCGAAAAGGTTCACTCCTGGCTCGCTCGTCAGCTGCCTGACCGACCTCATCCCTCTGTCAAGCGACCTTTCAACTATGCGGGATGGGCGATTACCATAACCATCGTCCTCGGAGTTGTTACTGCAGGTGTGGTGGCTTGGCCGTATGTGTCTCACATTTTGCAGAGCCGCAACCTCTGGGCAGCCTTGTCCCTGATGACCATTCTCCTGTTCATTAGCGGACATATGTTCAATCACATCCGCAAGGTTCCCTACGTTACTGGTGACGGACGTGGTGGGGTCAACTACATCGCGAGCGGTTTTCAGAACCAACTCGGCTTGGAAACACAAGTGGTGGCAGCAATCTGTATGTCTCGTCCATTTCTACCATTGCTTCTATTCCTCCTGCTAACTGCTTCGTCTAGATGGTGTTTTGTCATTTTGCGCGATCTCTCTTGCTATCAAGGTCCCACGAATTGCTGAAGCCAAGTCTCAACAAGTCGCAGTCATTGCGTTCGGTGGCGCCCTGTTCCTTGTCAACAGCTTTCTGCTGAGCGTGTTCCGTGTCAAGAACCCTGGCTATCCATTCTCTCTGCCGCCCTTCATGTAAAATGATATAGTCGGACGGAACGAAAACAGCCGCTAAATGTTTCGAGAATACATGACGTGGACCAGCAGTCACTAAGGATCAGGATCAGCATCGTTGTAGTGAGGTGACTTACCTTGCGGCGAGTAAGAAGGACAAAAGCATGTTGTATGATATTTCCCAAATAGACCTTTGCTAAGAAATGACGGAAAGATTCCAAGATTCTTCACTCCTGATCAATGGCGCTCCTAATTGCGGCTTTGATGTAAATACATGGAAGTCTTCTGGCCAATGTTGGCTTTTAGTTGGAATAACAAAGGTCAGTCTTGGTCACAATGTCACAGCTCAAGCCAACGGATAGACGAAAGTTCACTTGAAATCATGAAATATTTTGAAAACTCGAGTTCTTTATTGGAGAACAAAAGGATGAATCCCGGTAATTTCAGGGGCTGCCTATAACCATCAAATGCGTTATGCCCTCGTCAGATTTGTAGTCGCCCCCCTTCCTTTGCATCAATAAAGACCAAACGAGGAAGCCAACCATTTGACGCCCTACCAATGATCTACCTTCTTCCGCTCGCCTTCGTCACCACGCCTCTTTTTTTAGGGTAGAGCAATTTATGCCCTCGACATGACACCCCAGGCACGGATGATGTTGTCAGTGTAGCCAGCGAACAGAGTCTGGCCATCAGCAGACCAAGCCAAGCTGACACACTCAGGCTCTCGGCTCTTCTTGCCGACAGCGGGGAACTCAGGCTTGAGCTCATCAACCTTGCTCTTCTTCTCGAGGTCGAAGATGATGATGCTGCTGGCAGTGGCAGCGCACAGCCAGTATCTGTTGGGGGAGAAGACAAGGGCGTGGATCTCGTCGTTGGCGTTGAGAGAGTAGAGGTGCTTGGACTCGTTAAGATCCCAGAGCATGGTGGTACCGTCCTTGCCACCAGAGGCGCACAGAGAACCGTCGGGGGAGATGGTGACAGTGTTGATGTAGCCGGTGTGACCGATGTGGTCAGTCTGGAGCTTGCAGGTGGAGAGCTCCCAAACCTGGACAAATTGTCAGAATTATTCGAGTCAATGCATATAGGCAGATGAATGGGTAAGAGGGCTATGCAAAAGCTGGAATCAGGGCAATGGTGAATAGTGGTCTCATGGCCTGCGTGAACAGGCTCTGAAGTAGCAAATACTTGGGTTGCAAACATCATGTGGAAAGCGATATTACAGAATCTGTCTTCTTTACTGACCTTGACGAGCTTGTCCCAGCCGGCGGAGACAATGACAGGGTTCTGGGGGTTGGGGCTGAAGCGGACGCAAGAGGCCCACTCGGTGTGGCCCTTCTCGGTGATGGTGTACTTGCAGTCACCGAGAGTGTTCCAGAGCTTGATGGTTCGGTCGCGAGAACCGGAGACGATCTGGCGGTTGTCGGCAGAGAAGCTGACGGAGAGGACGTCGTTGGTGTGGCCGACGAATCGTCGAGTGGTGGTACCGCTGGCGAGCTCCCAGAGACGCAGAGTCTTGTCCCAAGAGGCAGACAGAGCGTAGGCACCGTCAGAAGAGATAACCTATTTCCAACAATCAGCCGAGTCCCAAGTTACATCTGCCCGCCAAAATGCTATCATGTGCGGCGGGGCACTGGGTGAACATACACAGTCGGAGACGATGTGAGAGTGACCGTGGAGGGATCGCTTGGGGTAGCCGTACTGGGTCTCATCGCGAGTGAGGTTCCAGATGATCAGGGTCTTGTCTCGGGAGGCAGACAGGAGCATGTTGGGGCTGGAGAAAGGTTAGTTGAGTGGCCTCGAAGCAAAAGCGTGACCAAGGTCCTTCTCGACGTACTTCTCCATGGAGGTAGCCAGACTGGTGACCCAGCCATTCTGCAAATAGTCAGCCTTAAGTCCTTCTTTTCCTCAAATATCATCTCGTTCCACGATGATGACTGCAGACATCTTGATTTGTAGCGGGTCGTAACCAGCGACAGTCGCGACGCAGCAGCCGACAGCGACAGAAGCAAGGTTGATGGGGGTCGACGTACGTGGCCCTCGAGAGTGCCCTTCAGGATCAATTGTTCGGCCATGTTTGCGGTGACGAGGCGATGCAGAGGATCAAGGTGCTTGAGGAAGAAAGAGAAATCAAAGGCTGCTCTGCAAAACCTAGGCCGAGTCGGAAGGGAAGGCGGTTGCGAATCGTACCTGCCCTTTTTTTTGTGTGGGTTAAAAATTAGGGAAAGTTAGGGCCTTGAGCTCCGCTTCGACATTAGCGGGGTGCGAGAGCCAGGCGAGGTACGTACCAACTTGTGTAGTCTGGTTTTTGAATTTTCATAGCAGTGTGGCGTTGAACTTAGGCGTGGCGTAGAGATGTGGCTGCTCTGTATATGAGACGTGGGTACATATTCCTCATTCATGTAAGGCACCGCTATGCAGCCATATGGTAGGTATGAGGCGATGCATCCTTAAAGGTACTTGACGGTGCGGATGTCGACGGGACAACCGAAGGCAATGCAGGCTTCAAGGTGCCATTTGGCCCAAAACGCGCCCTCTCAGCTCTTCTGTCGTTACTCGAATTAGTTGGGAGTTCAAGCCAAAGACTTTGAGGACTAACATACGCAAACGATAAAGAAACAATGTGACTTTCAACACTATCACATCGCAGCCATCACTCTAAACACGTTTAGAATATGCACAGGAAGTTTGGGATGAAAGCTCGCATCGCAATGTTGACCTCGATTCGTTCTCGTCGAATGTTGTTCTGTATCAGTATTCGCTTCATTGCCTTTCCAACCTAAAATAATGCAGTAAGCGCAGTAACACCTTACGCCTCCCACCCAGCCAGAGTATTATATACGGGGTATCATGCAAGCCCATCTTGTCTGGACTTTCTTGGTGTTCATGCCGCCTTTTTGGCCAAGGCAGCCGACCGTTTACCAGCCTTAGGAACCTCCTTACGCGAGAATAACGCCTCGCCATTGACAATCATACTGTGGTCGGCGATCTCCATTTGATCAGTATTCTCCCCTCTACCCTCAGTTGCCATAAACCTCTTCATCGTGGATTCCCATAAACGAAATCGTTCTTTGCCATGTGTATCGCGCTCCACTAAATTCTTGACCTCTTTCTGCTTTCGCATTTTGGATGCACGGACTAGTCGTCTAAGAGCATCCTCGCCCTGCTGGGCTGTCCTTGCGGCTTCCTCTCGTATTTTCTTCGAGTCACGAATGCTAGTATCCTCCTGAGGAGTAAACTTGTACGTGTGTTTGCTTGGAAAGTCGGGGAAAGAAGAAGGAACATATTCCTTCTCGTCTTTGTCTGGTTGTCCGCTGAGCTCTTCACCCAGAAGTGGTAGAGTCGTGTATGCATCGAGGTCCTCGGGTAGTATATCAACGTAGCCAGGGAACAGTTGTGTCTTTGAGACAGGAGGCTTCAGGTGCGGTTTCAGCGAGGAAATGCTAACATTGTGCCGTCGTAGCGCATGCTCAAAGTCGGTCGGGATAGGATGCTCGCGACGAGCCGCCAGTGCGAGGGTTTTGGCAGCTTCAATCATGCCCTCCAGATCTGGAGTATATTAGTAACAGAACGCCCAACAGGGAGCTGCGGCCAACAACTCACACGTCTCTACCATCCCTGTGAAGCTCTCCATTGCTTCGGGGCTTGCTCCCTGAAACCCATCGTGATTGAGAACCATTGCGATCGAACGCTGAAGTCCTGTTCTAGCTTGATAATGCGGATTCGGTACCGAGGATTCGATCGAGCGAGACTCTTGATTCTCGATTTGTATCGTGACATTTTCCGAGTCTTCGAAGCGAGGGCGCTTCGGGTTAGGCTGTTGCTCGTCGGCAGGTGATAGGCTTCGCTTGGGCGTCATTGCGAGGAGGTCGTCGAATATGAGATCGCGACGCGTGTTGGCGCAAGAGTGAAAGGAAGTCTGTTAATTTCCCATTGAAAAGTTATATTTTGTGACACTCTGATACGTTGAGACCTTTCTTGAGGTGTAGATAGTGGTAGGCCAGGCAGAACTAGCTTGATTCGTTGGTAATGAGGCTAAATGCACGTTTGTGGTATTGTAGGAGCTTGAGCAGTTGGAGATCGGAAGCTTTCCTCAGTAGCGCCCGGAGAAGCTTCGGCTCATATGCACGCTTCTCCAGTCAGTCCCTCCTCATGGAAACCACACCCACGATAAAAGCCGGCAAGCTCTCTCTCACCATTGTTCAGGTGTGTCGTTATTGCAAGACCTTAGGACGTGGATGCAATTGATTGTCATCTATGGCATTTGATAACCCGCTAACTTAGTGAATTCTAACACTGAGTGCCACGCGGCATTGTTCACTTCATTATGCATCATGATAGGTCAGCCTTTATGGATCTTCCAGCGACTTCACAAGTTAAATTTATACACTTCGAGTTGTTAACATCCAGCGACGATAGAGTGTTTAGTGACAACAAGTACGTCATGAATTGATTTCCTGAATTCTCAATAGGAATGGCAATGTCACAGATGGTGGAAGGATATGTCCATTGGCGTGGTGAACTCAAGACGAAACAGGGTCTTTTTGCCGTGTGTGTGAAATTAATGGCGGTATTAATAAGGTTCTAGACCACAAGATCGACGGCGAACTGTGCCGTGAAGGTGATCCGAAGCTCGCAAATACAACCCAACACATTCTGACCCATACTGTGTAGGGGAGGCAAGAAAACTTAGGATCTATATCCTAAGCGACAAAAAGATTTTAGGCAAGCTTAGTATAGCTTAGTAGGTCTTTAGACTAGTTAATATTGGCACCTTAATTAAATGTCAGAAGTTTTCTTGCTCCCTGGGGGCTGTCTCACTACTTCTCACATGCAAGTCGCTAGGATTGTTTACATGGCAATCGGCTAACCAACTGAAAGCCGGGTACGGAGTAGTGGACTGCTAATGGCTTTGACCGACACTTTGTTCAGAAAAGAGCTGAACCCTGCATGATGAGGTTCGGCGCTGGTGTTGACACAGATTGCAGGGATTCGTCAAAGTGACAGGCAATTCGATAAATCAATCACCCAGGTAGGATTCGGTCATTAATACTTTAACCTAAGGTACGTAGGGACGCATTCTATTGTTCAGCCACGCTTCAACGTCAAAGCGTATCACGATAATCCTAATTTTCGCCATTTCCACAGATACCCAAGTACTGCATACATTTAGGACCCTTACGGCATAAATAATAAGCTTACACGGCACTTCTTTGAGTCAGTTCGAGGCCCTTCGATGTTTTATCCTTTCCACCTCTCACCAACAAGCACCTCAAAAAACAGATGATACACCTGAAACAAATGTACGAGTCAGAAACGACACAAGTCCAGACCGAGTTGCCGATTTTCTCCTAAATATATCTCTGATCACCACGTAACCCAAGAATACACGAATCTTGTAAGGTACTCGGAAACCCCATACCCTGCACCATTAATAAATTCCTTTGCGGCATCACAATGAGTTTTACTTGAACAGGACCCTGATCTTCTATTCCCTGCCCTAAAGCCCTCAATATCAAAGTCTTTAGTCCCACCCTGCTGTGTATGGATACTTTGTTTAGATATCGAAAGCTGGACTTTCGGAGTATATCATTGACCAAAATATTAATTCATTTCTCCAGCGACACAGCCAGTTCTTTCTGGCTACCACCTTCAACATGTTTCCTTTCGACCAAGCTTCCCTTCCCCAGATCACAACCCGCAAAGCCCTTATTGGCGTGGACTTTCAGCATGACTTCATATCCAAGGATGGTGCTTTGCCCGTCCACGAGCCGGAGGACTTTGTGGACCAGACTATCAAGCTAGCCCAGGCATTTCGAGACGTCGGTGACGTTGTGTGGGTTCAGTCGCAGTTTAGTGAGGTTCGACCTGTTCTTGAAGAACAAACCCTTATCACCGACAGTGTGCCTAAAACATCCCGAGCTTCTAAGAGAGGTCGACCAAACATCCCGGTTGAACCAATCGACGCTGATGGCCCTCCAGATGAAGAGGCATTCCTGAGCCATGAGGATGCTGCATGTGTCAAGGCGGATACGCCTGGCTGCCGGATAGCTTCAGCCATTGAAGAGTCGCTGCCGAAGACAGACACAAGGTTGACCAAATCTCACTATTCAGCCTTCCAGTCAACCCACCTGCTGCGCCTACTACGTGCTAAAATGGTCATGGAACTCTTCATTTGCGGATCACTCACCAACGTTGGTGTATATGCCACAGCTCTTGATGCCGCAGGCCATGGAATGGCCATCACTATCGTCGACGACTGTTGTGGTTACCGATCAGAGTCGAGGAAGACTACAGCAATAGCCTCCCTAATAGAACTCACTGGATGCGAAATTGCTTCCTATGACGAGGTCATGGAGGCGATACAACCCAAGCCTAAGCCCTCCAAGTCGCAGGGCTCCAGAAAGCCTCCATCTTCGTCGAAGGGCCTGGAACAACCACAAACTGCAAAGCCAGATCATTCAAAAAATGCAGGCCGCGAGAAGAGCACTACCCCGGATTTTGTCAAAGACATGACAAGTCTTCGACTGGCTTCAGATCCTCCAAGCCCCGCACCAACATCGACTCAGCCTCAGCCAAAGGCGTCGTCAACAAGTGCAGCTGAAGACCATGACTCGGAGGTCAGCCCAGAATCGAATGCTACAGAATCCAATGGCGTTAATCAGATCAAATCTACTGAAGCACCGAATGGCACACACGAGCCGAACACGGCTAAGGATTCTCCTATTAAAGCCGTTGTCACAGATGTCGTCAAAGCCGAACCAGAGCCAGCATTATCGCAACATACTTCTGAAGGCCAAGAAGAAAACATCAACGCAGATCCCCAACACAATACCGCCCAAACTCAAGACCAAGTCATAGAACCATCGTCTCCAGCCGGGACAAGCAAGAAAGAAGAACAAACAATGAAAGCACAACCAGACAAGACCCAAGGAATACCCGAGATGAACAAGCCATCGACAATACATGATGCCAACCTTCAACAGGAAGGTCTATGCGAAGGGGACACTGACATAATTAATAATGTTCTTCCTGAGTCGTTGCTTGAGGGCATTTTCGATAAGTTACGCGAAGAGGTGCAATGGCAGCGTATGTCTCACCAGGGTGGGCAAGTTCCACGACTTGTTGCAGTTCAGGGTGAGATTGGATCAGATGGGAGCATCCCAGTCTACCGTCATCCATCTGACGAATCTCCTCCACTGTTGTCATTTTCTCCTACGGTACTAGCTATCAAAAACGAGACTGAGAAACAGCTTGGTCATTCTTTGAACCATGTACTGATCCAGTACTACCGAGATGGAAATGACTACATCTCCGAACACAGCGACAAGACTTTGGATATCGTCAAAGGATCTTATATCGCCAATGTGAGCCTCGGCGCTGAACGAACTATGACTTTTAGAACAAAGAGAAGGGATAAGGACCCTTCCCAAGAGGAACCCACCTCTCCAACAGCCTCGAAAAGGGTGATACAGCGTGCCAGACTCCCACACAATTCTCTATGCCGACTAGGCCTGAAAAGTAACATGAAGTGGCTGCATGCCATCCGTCAAGACAAGCGTTCAAAGAAGGAAAAATCTACAGCTGAACTTGCATACGAAGGAGGCCGAATCTCTCTGACGTTCCGACAGATAGGGACTTTTCTGAATCGTGAAGAGACTCTTATATGGGGCCAAGGTGCTAAAGCTAAGACCCTCAAGGATGCTCACGCTCTCATTAACGGGCAGTCTACTGAGGCTATTGAGATGCTGAAGGCCTTTGGGACCGAGAACCACTCAAGCGAATTCGATTGGGACGCGCACTATGGAAAAGGGTTCGATGTGTTGCATATGAGCAATGCACCTCGCTTCTTTGCCTGCAGTGACCCAACTATCAATATGCGCATTGCTCTCATGTTGGCGGAGTTTGGCGTGAACTACGCAAAGGGAAGCATTACGGCAGGATCCGAACCCACAAATTCTGAGAACCTGGCAGTTAAATTCGTGGACAAGGACACATCCACTGCTCAGGGCGATCTGGCTGTCATGTCGTACATTGATGCCCGCTATGGGCTTGGAAGACCTGGCAGCACCCCACAAGCACCGAAGGACCTGGCCATTCGACTCACTCGTTTCCAGCGTGCCATGGCTCTTTTGGATATGTGGAAAAACCTCCCCAAGGAAACCAAAAGCGGAAAACGAGACATTAAATCTCTCAAACAAGAGCTTGAAGTTTGGGACGGGTTCATCGCTGAGGACGATGGGCCTTACATCGCTGGTGTGGAACTGTCTCTGCCCGACTTTGCCTTCTGGCCAATTTTGCACAACATGGTGGAAGAAACAGGGCCAGAAACTCTCCAGGACCACAAAGGGCTCCGCGAATACTATGAGAAGATTGGCAAGAGGCCCAGTGTCAAGAAGGTGCTTGGCAAGCAGCCGCAGCAGCAGTCATAGGAGATTACCCCTGCTCGATGATTTGTATTTTAGACAAGTAGTAAACTTGTGATTCTTATATAGCGATTGGGTAGTTCTTGAGTAATATCTTGTCCTTTGCCGAGAATGATTGAGGGATTGTTGATGCGAATTGAAATCACTCGTGTATTTCTAGTTCGTTGCAGTAACAAGAGTTTCTTATGTGAATGATCAGTGCAGCATAGTTGCATTACCTTTACCATGGCAATAGAGGAAGCATAGTAACTGTGGGAGATTTTCAGGTACTGCGAAAAAAAGGAGAGAGGGAGAATTATACAATGTTTGGTATCTATTGTTCCAAGACCGTGAGGAAGTTAATATACTCGACGAACCGATTCCTCGATTCTTACTTCAAGCATCCGCAGGAGATTATTCTGAGGTGCTCCATGGCAGAGGATATGTGCCAACCCAATCCTCAACCTCACTTCTTAGTTGGACAATTTCGGATTCCGTCTCACCATCACCGAGGTGGTCTAGGAAAACTTTTATCTTGCCAGGGCTCTTCTCGCCCTTCTCCTCCGCTGCTTTTCGAGCAGCTTTGTCGATTCGAGAAGTAATGGTGATGGCACGATCCACGACGTCAGCAACACGAACGAAGTCATCCTCGTTAAAGCCACGGGTAGTCATGGCAGGAGTGCCCATGCGAAGGCCACCAGGAACCAAAGCAGAACGGTCCCCCGGGACTGTGTTTTTGTTGGCTGCCACACCGACCAATTCCAAGACACGCTCAACTCGACCACCATCAATACCTTGGGGTTTGAGATCAGCCAGAACCAAGTGGTTGTCTGTACCTCCGCTGACAAGCTTGTACCCCAAGCCGCCTTTGCCCTTGGGCTCGCTCAGCCGTTTGGCGAATGCCTTGGCGTTTTTTAGAACCTGGGATTGATATGCTTGGAACTCTGGAGTTTGGGCTTGCTTGAGAGCCACAGCAAGAGCGGTGATGGTGTGGTTGTGCGGACCGCCTTGGTGACCGGGAAATACAGAGTTGTTGATAGGACCTTCGAGATCATAAAGGATATCTTCCTTCGTCTTGGGGTTTTGTCTCCGTACGCCTTTCCTGTAAAAGATCATGGCACCTCGAGGACCTCTTAGGCTCTTGTGGCTAGTTGTGGTTACAATATCGGCGTAGGCGAAGGGACCAGGAATGACCTTTGCTGCAACAAGACCGGAGATATGGGCAATATCGGCCAGTAGGTAGGCGTTAATTTTGTCGCAGATCTCTCGCATGCGCTGATAGTCGATTAGTCGACTATAAGCACTCGCGCCTGCGACAATAATCTTTGGCCTATATATGCCTGCCATCTCCTCCAACTTGTTGTAATCGATGTATCCTGTAGTCTCGTCCAGTCGGTACGGTAGAGTTTCGAAGTACTTTGATATCGCTGAAATCTTCTTTGTGGGCGTTTGGTAACCATGAGATAGATGGCCGCCATGTGGTAGGTCTAGACCCATTAACCGATCATGGGTGTTGAGCAAGGCGGAGTAGACATAGAGGTTCGCTGGAGCGCCAGAGAGAGCTGAGAGGTTATAGTCAGTATCATATGCAATCAAGTAAGTCACTTGAGAGCAAGTTCATAGCGACCAACCTTGAACGTTGACACCCCATAGCTTGGGGTCAAGGCCGAACGATTCGAGGGCGCGCTGTTGACAAAGTCTTTCGGACTGATCGATGAATTCATTCCCGCCGTAGTACCGGGCCCCTGGGTATCCTTCCGAGTATTTATCTACAACATACGTTAGTCTCATAGCCTGTCGTCGTTCGAGCCTTGGCTAATGAAGCTCACTCTGCATCACGCTACCAAGTGCATCCAGTACAGCCTGCGAGGTAAAGTTTTCGGAGGGAATTAGATTGATGAAATGCTTCTGGCGGTCTTTCTCCTATCCGCATCGTCAGCATTACTGAAACATATAGAATTCGATGCGTCAATGCGACCAACCTTCTCAATGATGTCGAAGACAGCGGGGTCAGCTTTGCTCAGATGGGCTGAGAGGGCCTAGGAAGAGGAAAGGGGACATTAGATGCTAAACTCGTTGTACCAACCCAATTGGAAAAGACACACCTGCTGCTGGTCCTCTAGAGCTATGGAAGATGCCGCACGAGTACATGTCGTGGATACAGCAGCTGGTCTTGCGATGCTACGCAGGACACGCGAGGTGCCTCTCACGCCAGCGAGAGACATAGCGTGCTTGGCAGTCGATGGTAGGAGACCGAGATGGAATAATGTGAGCGCTTTTGGGAGAGAGAAAATGAGAGTTCTATTCACAGCAAAGCAGAGCAAAACGGCTTCACGAGGTGCTTGTGGTAGTCCCGCGGCGCGCTCGCTCAGGACGTCATTGACTGATACGATGGACTTAATTAGTGCCGACGACGTGGGCGGAGGTGGAGGGTGGAGGTGGAGGAAGTTCGGACAGGGCCGAGACTCGAATGATGAGCGACTGTCTCATGGAGCCATGCAATAGGTACTTTCACACAATGTACCGGCTATAATGTCCAGCCAAGATCCCTGTAATTCTTAGATTTAGCGCTCGACTTGAAGAGCGATTAGGATATTTATTGGCAGCTTCAGTGGGTTAAAAACTGACACTGAATATGAATACTCTCTGTCCAGGTACCTTCGAACACGCTGTGTGACATGCATCTGGCCTTACTGCAGCCACATAACTTGTGGCTATAATTGAATTATAAAAACAATAAGTTGACCACATTGCTTTTAGCTTGGTTTTCCTCCCTCCCCTTCTTATCAACTAAAGCTGGGTGTGATGTGACCGCTTAGACAACTGGCTCATCCGCTTCGGCGGGAGCTGGCGCAGCCTCACGACTGCTGAGGGGGGCAAGTTTTGGAAGAGATCTGACCTAAGCTTTTGCCTGGTCTTTTTATTCCCACGATACCATCTGTCTGCTTTTGCTATCATCAGGTAGGTAGTTAGCACTCTCTTATGTAGGTGAGATGTCTAGTTTGTGCCTGTCTCCGCCCAGCTAAGCAGAAGCTTTGCCTTGAGCCTGGTTGACTTCCTGATTGCTCCAAGAGTGCAAGTTCTATTTTAGGACTGCCACAAGTTCCCAGCTTGTGCAGTGGAATGTCCGATTTCCAGCGTGATGTAGTAAATCGGGACTTTTAATTGTGGCTCAGTTGTGGACCACAGATAATTCACACTCGCTAATCGAGTCAACGATACAGATGAGACGTCACAAACAATGCTTCATGATAAGCCAGACCGCACACATTATTTTCAAACGCTGGTGGTACTGATGTCGTGATGAGCGAAACAAGTGCTCACGAGAAGGTCGTAAATGGTAAAACATCCAAGCATCCGAGCATCATCGATTCCATTTTTTTCAATGCTACATGCCTGAACCCCTGCCGGTACAAGTGTAGAAACCAGAAGGGCATAAAAAAAGACCCAACCCGTAGACTCCGAATGCAGCCTCCTCTCAAGACCGAAATGTTGTCATTGTCCACTAGGTTTGATCTTACTCCTCGGCAAGGAGAGCATTTCGCTTCGCCGCCGCACGCTCCTGCTTGCGCTCGCGGGCAGCCTTGTTCTTCGCACGCTTGGCATCCATCTCCTCCTGAAGGGCAGACTCACGGGCCTTCTCAGCCTTAGCACGGTGAATCTAGATAAAAACTCCATGTCAGCAAATGTTCCGAGCGTGGGCCCCAAAGAAGGGGAGTATCATTGATAAAACGTACGTGCTCGACGAGGGCACGCTTGTGCTTGAAAGCGTTACCCTTGCTGCTGTGGTACAGCTCGTGGTAGAGGTGCTTATCGATCTTGCCGCTGGCACGGTACTTGACCAAAAGACGGCGGAGGACTCGGAGGCGGCGCATCCAGAGGACCTGGCTAGGCATACGGGCATCGGCGGTACCCTTACGCTTACCATAGCCACGGTGTCGGCCCTCTCGTCGGGCGAGGTTCAGCTCGCGAGCGCGCGATCGTGAGTGCTGGGTGACGGGCTTTCGGATGATGAGGCCATCGGAGATGAGCTTTCGGATGGTCTGGCGAGAGTTGGCGTTGGAGATCTCGCTCTGCTCGTTGGGGTCGAGCCAGATCTTGCGCTTGCCACAGCCGATGACCGCTGAGGCGAGGCGCTTCTGAGTTCGCAGATTGACCCTGTAGTTGAGGAAGAAATCATCGGTTAGCCACCAGTACCCTCTGATAATGTTGTGATGTCCCAGATTTTCCAATCCACCGGATGCATGGCGACACCATCAAAAAGCATTGCAACCAGTTCATATACTGTTTCCAAAGCTCCTCCTGCATCGCCTCCTCGCTTGTACCGATCGTTTCGATGGACTTACATCTTGATTGTCGTTGGGTGGTGGATGGCCGGTCCTCGATGGATGTTGGATGATGAAGACTGGTGAGAGGGGTTGCGAGGCCAGAATTTCTCTGCTTGCACCTCCTTCTGTGGGTTCACGCTAACCCCAGCACGTCAAGCGAGGGCTGCACGTGACCCTCAGGGTCGAAAATGGTAGGTGGGGACCAAGAAAATGTTAGAGGGTATCAAATTATATCCATCTCAAAGATAAATTATCAATGAATCATGATTCTGAATTTGATTTCGGGATTCTCAATAACACTTTATTTTGAGTGATCACTGTTGAGTGAGTTGTGGATGGATATTAATTATTAAGATAATCATAGGTAATTTAGCTTGGTAATTTCGATTCAATTGAGCAGGCTTGAGCTTTCGATTTATATCCTCATTGAGAAAGGCGAGAAGATGAGAATTCGCATGCATTACACAGTTGTGGGCAGCAGGAGCGTATCCAAGCAACTATACCAATTTTAGTATTGCATATTGTAGACCCTGAGATCAGGTTGGCTACCCCTACTACTTTTGCATGCATGACCAAATCTTCGTTATCAAGGTACCAAGTCGATATGATTTGTGGTGAATTTACCAACGGTATATTCAATGGTTTTTTTCTTCTTCTTGGACATATGCCCAGACAGCTTCAATGTTTATTTGCGATATACTCTTTGACAAATCTATGAGAAGGCTTCGCTGCCCACATCAACTTTTCCCACACTCCAAATCTCCTTCTCATCCTCAGCTTCATCGTTGGACAGTCCTAGTCCCCCTTGTCCACCCTCAGCCTCGCGCCTCTCGCGGGCCTGGGAGCCTAGCCTCATGGCGACACGTTTAAAATAGTCTCCCATGCTCCTCTTGGTGTTGGCTGGCAGATCCGCTCCTGGACCAGCCATGAATTTATCGAAGATGCGGCTCTCTTCATCAGCCACATTGAAAAGCTCCACAAATGCCGCCTCAGCGGCGAGCTTGACGGGAATAACAGGGTCGCGAACGCTGGCAAATATGGGCTGTGCTAATAGAGCGATATGAGGTCGGACCATTTCCATATCATTGCGACTGACAGTACGAACGACAACCAGCGCAAGTCTGCGCGAGTCGGTTGCGTTGCCAGGTTGGATTACAGAGGCAAGAGCCTCAAAAATCCCTTTTGTAGTCTCAAATGTTTTGGCAGAATCTGATAGCAAGTACTTACCAGTTGCCAGAATGCAGTTGTCTGCAACAAATACCTATGCAGGTGTTAGTTTACGAACCATCTTCGGTCTAGGAATACAACTGTGACTTACATTCTTGTTGGTGACGCCCTGGCACAGCAAATCGGGCAAGTCGTCAGCCAAGGGGCTTTGAAGCAGCGCGTCTGGCGATTCAGCAAGGACCGAGTTCAGGGCAAGGACAGATGAATGAGTAAAGTGCGAGGTCGCTACGCGGTTCTTCAATAAACCAAGAGCAGCTTCCTCAGGAACATTCTTGATGAGAGCACCCAACAGCTTGGCATTAGTGATGGTCATGGTCTCATCCCTCTCGTCCGTATCCATGTCGATAAGTGACAAGACAGAAGCCCGTGATGCTTCACCCATGTTCGCACCCGCTTTACTGATAACTTCATACAAGGCCTTGAGCATGGCTGTCTTGACACCAGGATCGGCTGTCTTTGATCCAGTAACTAGCTCGGCAATCAACGGATCGATACGGGGCGTATACTTGATCAAAGTACCCAGTGCCTTGGCAGCCCGTGTTCTCAAAGTCTCACTGGATGGGTCCGCAAGAGACTTGGCAAATGTACGTTGAAGCTGTGGAAGGAAAGGCTTCAGTGCCGCAGGCATCTTGTCCAGGAGATTATTGAGGGTCAGGAGGATTGCTGACTTGACTTCAGTAGCTCGTTCTGAAACGACACGGATCAGGGGACCGGTAATCTGGGTCACGAATGGCTTCAGAGAGGCCTCGCTTGTTCTGTCAACGATGTCGGAAATACCAAGAGCAGCTTGAACTCTTTGGTCTGCAGTGCCATTCATCAAACCTTGCAGGAAGATTGGTAGAATGGCATTGATACCCTTGGGTAGCTCGAAGCCGCGCAGGTTTGCTCCTGCGACCCCGATACGCTGAAGAGTTTGTCGAGTAGAAATGACAAGCGACTCCATCTCCTCCTTTCGCAGCTTCTTTGTGAACGCGCTGAGAGCCACCCACGCGGCCTTGACGACATCGGCATCTCTATCATCAAAGGAGTTAAGCAATGAACGAATGATATCCTGGTTATATCTGGAATAGTCCACGCTGGCAGCGGTGAAAAAGTTGCCCAAATGGCGAGCAGTAGCCGCTCGGCGTCGGTGATCCTCGTGTTTGAGAAGCTGCAGGAGAACGTTCATGACTGTGTTCAGCCCATCGTATTCGTCGATCGACTGAATGACGGTGTCGAAGGACGTCGCCAGCTCTTCACGAAGCCCATCATCCTCACAATTTATCTCGTTATCCATAAGCGAATTGATAATGTTGGGTAGGCGACGGTTCATCGCAGGACCAGCAACCTTGGACAGAGAGGCAAGAGCCTTAGCATCGAATGCTGATATGGGAGGTGTCGTGAGGGTTGGGATGAGGTTTGGCAGGATAATATTCGAGCGAGTCGTCTCAGTAAGCAGGGTCAGGAGTGCCTGCAGAGCATTGTCTGCTTCATCCTCGGAACGCAATAGGTTGAGAAGGAAAGGAAGAACTTGATCAACTGCTCGCTTGCCAAAGATTTGCTGAAGCGAATCAAATGCTTCAGCAGCGGCTTCTCGGACATTCTCATCAGAATCCGTCAGTGCGGTACGAACAACGGAAATGAGGGTCTTTTCGTGATCCTCAAGAGCCTCCGGTGAAGCAGATGAAATAAGCTCCCTCAGAGCAAAGCAAATACCCTGCTTAGCGTCAACATCTGTGGATGTCTGAAGGCCTTCTTCCAAAGTGGGGAGGAGACTGGAGAGAACACTATCTCCAGCCTTTCGGATCAGTTCTCCAAGGGCATTGCTGGCGATGACCTTGTGTTCCATATTGGAACTTCCCAAGCGACGGATAAGAAGTTGTGTAAGGGTTGGCACAAGCTCCTTCAGGGTTCTGGGGCTGTGAACAAGAACCTTCCAGACAGCAATAGCGGCCGAGCGGACGGCACCAGCTGTATCGCAGCGGCACACGTAGAGTGCAGAAAGGATCTTATTCCGCTTCTCCTCGCCGAGTGTTTCCTTCAAAGAAGCACCTGCTTCTTTAATGTTCTCGTCCTCCTCAATGTCATCAGCCTCGGTGCCAGCCTTGATACCTGTAAGGTTGAAGAGAAGATCTCCCACAAGTTCGACAGAGCTAAGTCGGATTCTGTAGCTGTCATCCGCAAGGCCGCGTTCGAGTTCTGGAAGGAGAAGATCGACAGCACGAGCAGCGAAATTCTTGACTAGTAGACGACCTGCACGTAGTGCGGTTTCACGGATCGACTCGACATCGTCGGCAAGACCGGCCAGAATAGGTGGTACAATGCGACCCAAGTAATTAGAGAAACTGTTGCCAAAACAGACAGGAAGGAAGATAAAAAGTGACATAAAGCCTTCGCGAACGGCGGGCTTTGAGGATTCGACATTTTGAAGAATGGTAGGAAGGGTCTCCTCCAGTCTTGTCGTTCCCAGTCCTGCGAGCACCTCGCTAAGAGCCTGAGCAGATCCCAACCGATCTCCAGCGCCAGTATCTGATTTGAGAGTCTGCATCAGACCAGGGATAAGATCGGGAAGTGTATCTTCTCCAAGCTTCTCGACCAAAGAACCCAACGCTCTGGAAGCCGTCGCTCGAGTGGTAGGCACAGGGTCGACAACGGCAACCTTTAGACCAGCCACAAGTACCGGCAAATGCATAACCACATCCTTCTTTTCGGTCAGATGGGCCAAGCTGCCAATAACCTGAGCTGCCTTGCGCTTGGTATTGGAACGGTCGCCCAAACCACGCTGCAGAATGCGAGTGACCAACGCCAAAGATGGAGCATCGAGGTAATGAACAAACTGGACCTTGATGAGCGAGTCCAGAGCTTCATCTGTATACTTTGTAGGGTCACTCAGAGCCTTCAGAATAATGTCGACCAACGATTTAATTTCTGGATTGTTGATGACTTCGCCAAACCTCTTCAAGCTTCGGTTTGCGGCAGCTCTGACCTCCTTGTGGCTGTCGTTCAGCACACCCGTCAGAGGGGGGATGATGTCCGGCAGACTGTTGGCGAGCTGCTGCGGATCGAGATATGCCATTGCGCCAAGAAGGTCGCAAGCACCCTTCTTGCTCCTCCATTGTTGCTCTTCAAGCCCATCAAGCAGAGTTGGCATGATTCTCTTCACACCGTAAGAGCTTAGCTTCGCGAAGCACGACTTGGCTGCTGCTAGACAGGCTTCACGAACATTCGCGTTAGCATCACCAAAGCCTGTCAGCAGCTGGGGTACAATCTGGATCACGTAAGGTTCAAAGACACGTCCTAGCATAGTTGAAAGAAGTTCGTATGCTAGCAGAGCGGCCTCACGCTGATTTGCCTCCTTTTTGTTTTCCATTGCGTCAGTGAGAGTTGACAGAATTCGGTACTCTCTTAGTGCCGCGATACCTCTGCCCATTACAAGACCAGCCAGACCATAAGCTGAACCTCGCTGAACGGCGTACTTTTTAGAAGTGAGCAGCTGCTCCATAATTTGACCAAAGTACTTGGAAGACTGGTCAGGGCAGGCTCGAATTAGGGGAGGCAGACACTCAGCGATGGCATATTGTACCGTCTCCGAGGGCGTACTTAGAGTTGCCACGAGACGGTCGATAACGATAGGTATCTTGGGATCACCAGGGCTCAAGTGGCGAGCCAAGGCACCGTACATAATGATCACTGCCTCGTTGACACGATCAGCCGCATCGCTGTTCTTGTCTGGTTGTTCCAAGGTCTGTTCGAATTTTGACATGAGCTCGTCAAGGATGCCTTTGCCATGGATTTCAATGGCCTTGATCGAGGCATCCAGCATCTCACCTCTCACTGCATCGTTCTTGTCTCCGAGAGGACCAGCATCAATGAGGAAGTCAAAGAAAGGATCCAGCTGATCAACTTTGAAAACTGGAGCAATCTCTTTGAAAGCTGTAGCGATACCTTGCCTTCCTTCCCAAGGATCAGACAGATCCATCTTTTTGGGCATGCCGAACTCATCAAGCTGCTGAACCCGGGGTTTGGCAAGCTCGACATAAGTGGCTTTGAGCTGGTCAAGCACCGCATCCAAGGACTCATTATGTAAGCTAGCTGCTTCAGCCAGGGAGCGAGCAGCGGCACGGCGTAACTGCCCGTCTTTGCTCTCGAGGAAAGGTACCATCTTAAGTGGCACCTCTGGCGTCACTTCGAAGCCACTCTCCTCCCATATCTCCCGGCCGAGATCTTGGTTTTCTTCCTCATCGTCATGAGCAGCGATCCAAATTTCATCAGAGTAGCCAAGCTCGCTCATGTCGATTTCAGCGCTAATGGATTGCAACACCGTTGATCTGACTCGAGTTTCAGGCACCAGCGCACCCTTTGCAAGAATAACCATCTCCTCACGGTCCATGTTTGGTGCGATGCAGCGGCACATATCAGCAAAACAGTCCCTGAGGAGTTTGTAATGCTGAGCATATGCCTGCATAGAAGTGATAAGAACTGAAAGAATCTCGGCACGAGGAACAGCCTCATCACTACAGACATCTGTATGGTATGAGAGGAACTCGATGGCCAATACCAGCTGAGCATCTGCATCATCGGCCGAATCACCAACTCCGCCTTTACGGAGAAGCTCCAGCACGAGCGGCAGCGCGTAGATGAGTGATACAGAATCGAAAGGTCGCTGCTCGCCGGCAAATCGCAAACGGTACAAAACTCTTGTTACCAAGTCTTCAACAGCTTCCTCTTGATAGTTCTCTGCCAGCGACACGCCGCGCAGCCTGAGGGCCGCGACACCGACGAAAGGCCTCATCGAGCCTAGGCGCTCTGTAACCTTCTCTGCGCAAGTTATGTAAGTCAATGGTGCTGCATCACCAGTGATCATGGTGGCACCAGCGTCCATGATACCAATCAAGAGTGAAACTGCAGTACCAAGCCACTGGGCTGCATCTGTTGGTGGACCAGTGGCGAGGCTTCGGATAATGCCAATGCCCCGCAAAAGCCTTGCCTCGATCTCGGTTATAGTTTGTCTGATCAGGCTCTCTTTCTTGAGCTGAGCGTTGACTTTTGCGTTCTCCTCTGGGGTCAGCTTTTTCTGTTGGCCTTTCTTTTTTTCAAGCTGACTCCTAAGCTCTTCCTCCCATTTGAGAATGTCATAGTCCTTCTTATTTTTGTCCAAGACTTGCTGAGACTTCTTTGCAAGCACGTCAACGAACACAGTACCCTCGGGTGTTCTAAAGATAGCCGCTTCAACAGGGCCAATATCGTGGAGTTGCTCGGCGTCAAGATCGCGGCGGAGAGTCTCCAGCAGGCGTGGAATAATGGTTTCAGGAGCAACAAAAGCCAAGTCAGCAGCTGCGTTATACGCAGCTTTCTTGATGGCGTCAACCTGTCGGTATTGGTTAGCTAGATTTTCTTACTCTAAGAGCGTCGTACAAACCTTCTGATAGAACGACGTTTGATTCTCTATTTCTGTCACAAGCTCGTCTTGGTACTTCTTGACTAGATTGCCAGGATCCAGTTCCATCCTGAGGCACAAGTCGATCCAATTTGCCCTAGGGATTAGCTCTGGGCGCGCCAGAACAAGGAGATTGTTTGCTTGTATCTCGAGATCCTCCGTGTTGATGGTTTCCCCGGACTTTTCGATATCACTAGGAGTCAAGCAGATAGCTTTCACAACCTGGATCAAGTTGTGAGCACCTGATGACGGTTCCTTATCAGGAGATCCAGAGTGCTTTAGATAATCCCAAAGGCCGTCGATAATGAAACCTGATACCAGTTTTGGACTACGAACGTACAAATTGGAAAGGGTCTTGGAAGTCTCCTGCTGAACAGTTGCCGGAACGCTCTGAGCGGTGACTAGGTGAATAATTGCTTCAGACCAAGCGAGGGCAACCTGATTATCAGTATTCTGGTCAAGACTTTGAAAGATGGAATCTAGAGCACGTGAAAACCACTTAAGATCCTCATCGGCTGTGACCTTAGAGTAGATTCGAGGGCTGAGGAGGAAGGATGACTTAGGATCCAAGGACAACGATTGCTTGATAACCGATGATTTTGCTATGCTTGAATCGGCTGCAGAACCAGGAAGCAAGCGCTGAATATGTGTCCTTACAGCCGTCAGAATGTAGGCACCAACAATAAGGCCGTTCTGAGCAGCGCTAGCTGCATTTGCTGTCACCTCTGTGAAAGTGGTAATGATTTTTGGTGTCACTGCATCCACAAAAGCAGCCATTCCCGAAGATACTGATTGCACTTCATCGAGGGATTGCAAGATAGCACCGACACGGAGCAACCAGTACTTCCGAGAAGGGATTTTCTTCTCAGTAAGCCCCTTGGTAACGGATTCCAGGACACTTTTGGGGACCTCGGCATCGTTGGTCAATAAGAAAGAAACCGCTTTTGCTAAGGCTGAAGTCTCCGCAGCTAAAGCGCCCTCATTTCCTTCCTTGGCAGCGATGACTGAAACTGCGTTCGCGACTTGCTCGGCACTTGCTTTTGACAGAGGTGCAGTCTGAAGCATTTGCGCATGCAGTACACGGTGGTCAGGAGATGCAAGTTTGCCGGATTTCAGGGGTGTCGCAACCTCGTTGATGACTTTTTCCAAGGACGCCGTGTCACTAGACTTGTTGACCAGAGCGCTGAACGCATCCAAAGAGCCAGCACGAATAGCTGCATTGGTAGATTTTGCATTTGACAAAAGGGGCTTGAGCAGATTCTGCTCAAGGACCTTGGAAAGATCAAAATTGTCAGGCAGAGAACGAACAAGAGGCGTAACGACTCCACCGAGAATGACCTCAGGGGCACGCAGAAGACCCTTCTCGAGAGCGGGGATCAGTTCTTTAGATATTTCTTCAAGGGTGGCGAACGAATTGAAGAAGTCACCGAGTCCAAGCACTACATGCTCTGGAACACTAGTACGAGAACCAATGATCTCTCTTGTAAAGAAATCGTAATACTTGGATTTGAGGGACTCGAGAACGGGTCGCAAGTGATCCTTCCTAGCAGATACGCCAGCGATGACACCAAGTAAGACAGCATTTCTAAGGGTTGACTGAGCCCCCTTAGCAGTCAGGACATCAACAGTAGCAGAAAGCCGTTTCTCACCCAATTCATTCGAAGAGAAGAGTTTCCGCAAACCCCTCCTTGTAATAATGATGGCGGAATGAGTAACTGACTTCCTGGAGACTGGTTGGTGGCACTTTTCCAAAGCATCAGCATCTGCTAGGATAATATCGGTAGCAAACTGGTCCCACTGCGAGGCATCCAGATGCTGCATAAACAAACTGCACCATTCGACGAGAACGAATGCATTGGTAGGAGCAATGCCAGGTTTCTGGCTTTCCTTGCGCAAGGCAGTAATGAGCGGGGCGATGGTCTTAGAGTCGGCACCAGAGGAAATGAGCGCAATCAGGCACTTTTGCACAGACAACCGGGACTGCCTATCTGCGTAAAAGGCATATGTTCCGAAAAGGAGCTGCAGGAGACTTGTAATTGAGGCGCTGTCAAGGGCTTCGGAACTATTGTCAGCTGGTTGATAGAACCTTGGTAGAGGACGAGGGCTTGCGCACATTTCTGGGCCAGTTTTTCTTCGATTGTGCGCAACTGAGTGATTCGGACAGCCGTCGAGGATGAGGACAGAGCCTGTTTAATGGCGGCCATGTCGAGAGGGGCCGGAGCGCCAGAGTCGGATGAGTCGCCCTTAGACATTCTGGAGTTCGGAAATGGAGGTATACGTTCGGGTTGGTGAACTCATCTGGGGCTACCAGAGCTCGTGAACGCCAAATCTGAGGCGTAGATCCTCAGTCGAGGGGTGGGACGGGTGATGTCAAGAAGGTTTGGTGGTGGGCTCGCAGTTGGTGTTTTGAATTTTTGGGCACCAAATCCATCAAGAGAACGCAAATATCAAATATAGGTCTCGATGGACCGTTGACCCCACGCCGAATCAACAGAGGTAACACCTTACCTAAGGTACCCAGAGAGGATAGGTAAACAGCTCGACAGGCCATTTAGGTGGGGTTAGGAGCCCTGACAGTCTCTAGCCCACTCAAATTATCGCGGTATGACGCATCGCTGGCCAGGCCTGATACACCACTAGCCTAACTATGCCTACAGTATCAGCACAGGAGCCGTTCAACTGCACCTGTACCTTGCAGATCTACCTATCGATCCCAGGACAATCTTGTCACTCACTAAGTAAGTAGGTAGGTAGAGTGCAATTCCCTTGTACTGGCTGTATATCTGCTTGACCATGAATCTATCTCCAAATCCCTCCGTCTAGGTGATTAATACTTCATTGTTGTGGTATTATCCCTCCCCTCTAACTCATCCTCATTCAGGCACGATCCACAGAACTGGAGATCAAAGCCCTTGCGTCACAACCTCCACCTTCAAACTACTTCACTCCTGCACCTTTCGTCTGTAGATCGGCAATTTCAATGTCCTGCAGTCGAATTTTGTAGCCCTCTATATTGCAGGGGTAAATCAATCCTCAGTTTCACCAGCAGATTTCTCCCTCGGCCATGATACCTCCGAACTAGAGAGTGCTCATAATTTCTTCAAATCTTCCTCTGACTTTACCGCCTGCTGGCCCTTCAGTTGACGATAATGGCTGGTGCGAAAAAGAAAAAGAAGTCCGCCGCTAACCCAGCTCGAGGATTCGCAACCACATCGGTTGCTTCCAAGCCTAGACCTGAGGTTGCCGAGTCTGAAACGAAACCTGTGACTATCAAAGGCCAAATTGCCCCTCCATCGACCCAGAAGGATGCCCCTCCACCCTCGTCCGCAACCACTGGCGATGCGACCACCAATGCTGCAAACCAGGAGAAGGCTCTCAGCCCCGAAGAGTTCGAGAAGCAGTTGGAGGAATCTGAGCTACAATTGCTTGTGGAGAAACATGCAGCCAAAACAAAAAAAGATGCTCAACGGCAACGGAACCGTCTCGATACCGACCGTCGACTCCTTCGTGGTCAGGCCGATTCTATCAATAGTTTCAAATGGCTACCGCCAGATTTGATGGATCATATACTCGACCTGGTGCAAGCAGAAAATCGATTTGCAGCTTCTAGCCTGTCTTCCTCGGAAAATGCCGGAGCTGGGAAGGTGCCTCCTGAAGAGGACATGGTCATCCGCCTCTGGACATTACAACAGACCCTGATCGCAGCAGAATTCCCCACGGACCGAGTGGCGGCTGCGATACGATATATCCTCGATATAGCACCCAATGTAGTATCGACAAATCGAGATTCTATCTGGGGGCTTGAAGAGGCCCTCGACTGGTTAGCCAGGGAATGCACGATTGGAGAACTGCCGAGTTACGAACCTAGATCGAGGCCAATCCCGAAAAGCACCACTGGTTCGTCTTCCGACATCTTGGGCCCCTCTCCAACTAATTCTGTATAATAGATACTCCCCAGGACAGTCCAATACCGAGCCGCTCTAGTACTCCTCGTCAAACTGATGCCCGGAATGGCCGTAGAAACAAGCCAGCTGGGAGCAATGCTCGATCAGTCAAGGCTTCCTCACCCACTAAAAAACTGGTGGTGGCTTGTGATAGCGACATAGAAGCTGACGAGCTTGTTCCGAAATACCTGGAGACTAAAACTAAATTGTTAGAACACGAGCGTGGAAAGGGCCGACCGGCTAGCTCAAAGACGTCGGAATCAGACGAAGAACTCGCTGTTGCTAAGCTCGAAGCTAAGATTAGGAAGATCGAAAATGATGTTCTTTTCGACAAGTATGAAGCCGAGCAACAGTGGAAAGCCCAAAGAATCGATCTTGAAAGGCGACTGGCCGCCGAGAAGCAAGAAAATCAAGCTCAATCTGACGTGATTTCAGCCAGGGCAGATGAAACGCCTCATGGGCAGGCGGATAACGCCGACATCAACGATGAAGCTGAGCGTATCGCTGCCGAAATCCTAGCCGAGGTGAATGATGAGGATGAAGATGGTATCGGCGGATTATTTGCAACTCTGCCACAAAATGAGGTCGACGCAAGCACAGGCGAAAGCCGCACAATTGTTAGCTCAGCCGATGGAAATCGAATTGTAATCCGTGATTTCGGGAAGTGGACGGGCATCAGTCCTCGAAGGGCACTCGAGGAAGCATGCCGTTCGAGGTAAGCCCACTTGATGTAGCCACATATTGCATAAGACATGCTGATCGCGAATCTTAGGGACTCATCGGCGAGAATCTCATACTCTGTTGTATCGGATGCTTCCTTCGCAAATCGACATTCTTTGGATATTACCTGGACCAAACCTCAAGAAGTGCCACCACCGGCGACCTCATCTGACGTACAACTTGTAGCGGACCCTTATAGATTCACTTTCACGATGATCGGCATCGCAACCCCAGATGCTAAACAGTCCGAATCTTACATTTCCACGGTGGCTTTGTTTTATACATTTAGCGGCAACGCCAAGGACGAGAAAGTGGTTATCAGACTTCCCCATGTCTGGAAAGACGTTTGGGCGGAGCTTGCTGAAGCACGGAAAGCTCAAATTGATGAGCAAGATAGAGATGTGGTGAGGGACTTGAGAGCTCTAGTACGTCAAAGACATGACCAGGAGCTTGAAGATGGTGTTATCATTCAAGGCGCGTTTCGGGGAAGGGGCGCCAAGCCTACCCACGACTCTGGCGACGATGGCGGTCAAGATCGATCAAGGCAGAGCGCTACGAATGGGGAGTACTATCAGAAGATCTGGGCGGAGAAGTCGAACACACGCAAGTTTCAGACGATGCTGGTAAGCTACGAACTGTGTTACTAGGTTGCCGTGACGCTAACGAAACTTAGCAATTCCGAATGCAACTCCCCATGTGGAACTTCAGAGAGCAAGTCTTGACTGCTGTTGATGAGAACCAAGTGATAATTGTTTGTGGTGAGACTGGATGGTAAAGTTTTTGAGCACGTCGTTCTAAGGAGGTCTTACTAACTGGAAAATAGCGGAAAGAGTACCCAAGTTCCGTCTTTCTTGCTAGAGCACCAGCTTTCTCAGGGGAAGCCTTGTAAGGTGTACTGCACAGAGCCAAGAAGGATCTCTGCGATCTCTCTCGCTCGTCGTGTCAGTGAAGAGCTTGGTGAAAACAGAAATGACCTCGGAACCAATAGATCCCTAGTCGGATATTCCATTCGACTCGAGGCTAATACCTCAAGAGAAACAAGGCTGGTATACGCAACCACTGGCATTGTAATGCGAATGCTTGAGGGCTCCAATGATCTACAGGAAGTGACGCACCTGGTGCTTGATGAAGTGCACGAGCGGTCGATTGACAGCGATTTTCTCCTGATCGTCCTGAAGAAGCTCCTCATAAGACGGAAGGACTTGAAGGTTGTTCTCATGTCTGCTACAGTTGACGCAGATCGATTTTCCGCTTACCTTGGCGGAGCACCAGTTCTCAATGTTCCTGGGCGAACGTTTCCAGTGCAGGTTAGATACCTCGAGGATGCCATTGAACTTACTGGATACACACCTGCAGATTCCGAGCCTGATAAAATGGTTGACTTGGATGATGATCCTGCAGAGAGTGAAGGAGAAAACACCAAGAGCGATATTACCAAGAGTCTATCAGGGTATACCGCAAGAACACGGTCGACACTGGCGCAAATTGACGAGTACCGCATCGAGTTCGATCTTATTCTACAGTTGATAGCTCAAATTGCGGTTGACGAACATCTGCACAATTTTAGCAAGGCCATTCTTGTGTTTTTACCAGGTATTGCTGAGATTCGCACACTAAACGACATGCTGCTGGGAGATCCCAGGTTTGCCAAAGACTGGCTTGTCTATCCCCTCCACTCAACCATCGCTACGGAGGACCAAGAGTCGGCATTCCTTGTCCCACCACCTGGAATCCGTAAAATTGTTCTTGCTACCAACATCGCCGAAACTGGAATCACTATTCCCGACGTCACTTGTGTCATTGACACTGGCAAGCATCGTGAGATGCGTTTCGATGAGCGACGCCAACTCTCACGCCTGATTGATACCTTCATTTCCCGTGCAAACGCAAAGCAAAGGCGTGGTCGAGCAGGGCGTGTACAAGAAGGTTTATGCTTTCATATGTTCACCAAGTTCCGCCATGATCAGTTAATGAGCGACCAGCAGACGCCTGAGATGCTCCGACTCTCTTTGCAAGACTTGGCGATCCGAGTCAAGATCTGTAAGATCGGAGGGATCGAGGAGACACTTGGCGACGCTCTTGACCCCCCCTCTGCCAAGAACATACGTCGGGCGGTTGATGCCCTTGTGGACGTTCGCGCCCTTACTCAGGCTGAGGAACTCACACCACTTGGACACCAGTTAGCCAGGTTACCTTTAGATGTATTCTTGGGTAAACTCATTCTGTATGGAGTCATCTTCAAATGTTTGGACATGGCCATCACTGTGGCTGCTATCCTATCTTCCAAATCACCTTTCTCGGCGCCGTTTGGACAGCGCACTCAGGCAGATAATGCTCGCATGGCTTTCCGTCGGGGAGATTCTGATCTTCTCACTATTTACAACGCATACCTGGCTTGGAAGCGAGTATGTCAGTCTGCTGGCGGTGGCGGAAAGGAGTTCCAGTTCTGCCGCAAGAACTTTTTGAGCCAGCAAACTCTTGCCAACATCGAAGACCTCAAAGGGCAGCTCCTTACCTCTCTTGCCGACTCCGGCTTCCTTTCTCTTACTGAAGACGAAAGACGGGCACTATCCCGAGCTCGATTCTCT